GTCCCTTGAAATGATCTTCTTTAAAAAATCCACGCCTGTGGATGTCCCTTGAAATGATCTTCTTTAAAAAATCCACGCCTGTGGATGTCCCTTGAAATGATCTTCTTTAAAAAATCCACGCCTGTGGATGTCCCTTGAAATGATCTTCTTTAAAAAATCCACGCCTGTGGATGTCCCTTGAAATGATCTTCTTTAAAAAATCCACGCCTGTGGATGTCCCTTGAAATGATCTTCTTTAAAAAATCCACGCCTGTGGATGTCCCTTGAAATGATCTTCTTTAAAAAATCCACGCCTGTGGATGTCCCTTGAAATGATCTTCTTTAAAAAATCCACGCCTGTGGATGTCCCTTGAAATGATCTTCTTTAAAAAATCCACGCCTGTGGATGTCCCTTGAAATGATCTTCTTTAAAAAATCCACGCCTGTGGATGTCCCTTGAAATGATCTTCTTTAAAAAATCCACGCCTGTGGATGTCCCTTGAAATGATCTTCTTTAAAAAATCCACGCCTGTGGATGTCCCTTGAAATGATCTTCTTTAAAAAATCCACGCCTGTGGATGTCCCTTGAAATGATCTTCTTTAAAAAATCCACGCCTGTGGATGTCCCTTGAAATGATCTTCTTTAAAAAATCCACGCCTGTGGATGTCCCTTGAAATGATCTTCTTTAAAAAATCCACGCCTGTGGATGTCCCTTGAAATGATCTTCTTTAAAAAATCCACGCCTGTGGATGTCCCTTGAAAAAATATTCTTAAAAAAAATCCAAAATATTCTTTAAAAATCCACGCCCTGTGGATGTCCCTTGAAATGATCTTCTTTAAAAAATCCACGCCTGTGGATGTCCCTTGAAATGATCTTCTTTAAAAAATCCACGCCTGTGGATGTCCCTTGAAATGAAAAATATTCTTTAAAAAATCCACGCCTGTGGATGTCCCTTGAAATGATCTTCTTTAAAAAATCCACGCCTGTGGATGTCCCTTGAAAAATTGTTCTTAAAAATTCCAAAATATTCTTTAAAAAATCCACGCCTGTGGATGTCCCTTGAAAAAATATTCTTAAAAAAATCCCTTGAAATGATATTCTTTAAAAAATCCACGCCTGTGGATGTCCCTTGAAAAAATATTCTTAAAAAAATCCCTTGAAATGATATTCTTTAAAAAATCCACGCCTGTGGACGGCCCTTGAAAAATTGTTCTTAAAAATTCCAAAATATTCTTTAAAAAATCCACGCCTGTGGATGTCCCTTGAAAAAATATTCTTAAAAAAATCCCTTGAAATGATATTCTTTAAAAAATCAAAATATTCTTTAAATAATCCACGCCTGTGGATTTCCCTTGAAATGATATTCTTTAAAAAATCAAAATATTCTTTAAAAAATCCACGCCTGTGGATGTCCCTTGAAATGATATTCTTTAAAAAATCCACGCCTGTGGACGGCCCTTGAAAAATTGTTCTTAAAAAATCCAAAATATTCTTTAAAAATCCACGCCTGTGGATGGCCCTTGAAAAAATATTCTTAAAAAAATCGAAAATATTCTTTAAAAAATCCACGCCTGTGGATGTCCCTTGAAATGATATTCTTTAAAAAATCCACGCCTGTGGATGAACCTTGAAAAATATTCTTTAAAAAATCCACGCCTGTGGATGTCCCTTGAAATGATATTCTTTAAAAAATCCACGCCTGTGGATGTGCCTTGAAAAAATATTCTTAAAAAAATCCAAAATATTCTTTAAAAAATCCACGCCTGTGGATGGCCCTTGAAAAAATATTCTTAAAAAAAATCCAAAATATTCTTTAAAAATCCACGCCCTGAAAAAGATATTCTTTAAAAAATCCACGACTGTGGATGGCCCTTGACAAAATATTCTTTAAAAAATCCACGCCTGTGGATGACCCTTGAAAAAATATTCTTAAAAAAATCCAAAATATTCTTTAAAAAATCCACGCCCTGGAAAAGATATTCTTTAAAAATCCACGCCCTGGAAAAGATATTCTTTAAAAAATCCACGCCCTGGAAAAGACATTCTTTAAAAAATCCACGACTGTGTATGGCCCTTGACAAAATATTCTTTAAAAAATTCACGACTGTGTATGGCCATTGACAAAATATTCTTTAAAAAATCCACGCCTTTTATGGATGCGGTTTGAGAAAATATTCTTTAAAAAATCCACGCCTTTTATGGATGCCGTTTGAGAAAATATTCTTTAAAAAATCCACGCCTTTTATGGATGCCGTTTGAGAAAATATTCTTTAAAAAATCCACGCCTTTTATGGATGCCGTTTGAGAAAATATTCTTTAAAAAATCCACGCCTTTTATGGATGCCGTTTGAGAAAATATTCTTTAACAAATCTACGCCTGTCGATGCCGCTTGAAAAAATATTCTTTAAAACATCCACGCCTGTGGATGCCGCTTGAAAAAATATTCTTTAAAAAATCCACGCCTGTTTATGCCGCTTGAAAAAAGATTCTTTAAAAAATCCACGCCTGTTATAACCCGTGAAAAAAATATTCTGTAAAAAATATTTCACCTTCTTGGAGGAAGTTGACAAAGAATTTCTTTTAAACTTACCCTTAAAGCATCCTTTTGCCGGAACATTAACAAACAATATTCACATTGAAATGGCTTCTCACCGGTGTGACGTCTCTTGTGGAAAATCAAACTCTTACACTGGGTAAAACCGCGATCACATATATCACATATATAGGGTCGTTCTCCCGTATGCGTATAAATATGCTGTTTAAGAGTGGACTTTTGGGTAAACCCTTTGGAACAGTGTGGGCAGACATGCGGTTTATTACCCTTATGCGATTGCATATGACGATTTAGATTTGTCTTCGTACTAAAATCACGATCACAGTCTTGACAATAGAAACGCTGAACCTTCTGCTGAATTGTCAATGATATTTTTTCCTTTGGGCCCGCGGTGGATTTTGATGATGATGTTGATCTTTTTCGTTTTTTGCAATTTTCATTTATTTCGTAATACTCTATATTCATACGGTTATCATATAAACCATGTTCTTGCTTTACAAAATGATTATCATAAAGATTTTGATTGGCTGCATTGATTTCCTGGCCTGGATCTTCCTGATTTCCTTTTGTCGTTGATTCTTCGAAAACGTTCGCTTCAGTGTACTGCTGCTCGTCATGGTATTGTAATTCATGTACCTGATTATTTATCAAGGTTTCATATTGTGGTACATAATCCTCCGTATCGGGTTCTGTATTATGTATAACAACAGTATTGTTGTGTTGTTGGTCATCATCATCCGGAGTTTCTTCCAATCCCAGATCATGGAATTCTGTCGATGAAGCTTGACTTTCTTCTTCTTCATTTAAGGTAAAATGTTCCTGTTGTTCCTCTTCTGTTTCATTATGTTGTATATTTTCATCATGTATTTCATCGGTCTCTGGGGACCCGTTTTCTTCATCAAGTTCTGCTTCTTCATGACCCTCCAAAATATGTTGTATATCTTCTACATTGATCTCAGATTGAGGTGCAGCTTCTTTAACATTTTTTGTAATTTGTTCTTGTAAATCCATTATTAGATTTTCTTCTACACTTGCTGATTCGTTTTCATCAGATACAGAAGTGGCGTCGGCGACGGCTTCACCATAGTCCTGCATATCATCATTATCATTTTCCATTTGTTGCATATCATTTTCATATTCGGTCGCCACATTATCGGAATTTATAATTAAAATATTTTCATCTTCATCGTTGAAAGTGAGTGATGGTTTATTTTCATCGGTTTGTGGTTGTGGATTTTTAGGGTCTTTAATTTCCTCCACTTTTTCGGAATCCTTTGTATTGCTAACATTTTTGGTATGCGAAATCTCTGTTGATATTTCTTTTTGCTTGGGGGAAGTTTTTGGTTTGGAGTCATCTTTTGTGATAGAAGTTGTTTTATCATCATCCTCATGTTCCTGTATATTGTTCAGAACATCCTCTTCGAGTAGCATATCATCTATATTATCCTCATAATCGTTTGACGACAGATTGCCTTTTGTATTTGGCTTTGTAACTTCTTGAAATTCATTATTAATTTTAGCTAAAAATGTCTTCAAATTATTTTCCGATTCATGGGCTGTTTTTATAAATGAATGTGCCACTTTAAGACGCGCAATACATTTCGAACATATTATTTTGGGTAAATTATCCTTATCGGTGACCTTGAATGTGAAAAGAATATTAAAAATATATGAGGATCAAATGTCAAAGCATGATTTTATATTGAAATTTATGTCATAAATAAAGAATGGTCTACTCTCTCCAAAGCCTTAGAAGATGTACTAATACACCGTAATTACCACCGTCAACAGCTTTCCTAATGCTATCCGTAAGATGGAGCCAACATGTAGCAGTACTATGGCCAAGCCTAAAACCATATGGACAATTGTTCAATAACTTCCTACCATTAATGTACTCTAAAATTGCATTAAGTGCTCCGCAACTTTAGATAACGCTGGACGCAAACTGTCCACACAAAAAGGATACTTTTCGGTATATATACATCTCTTGCCAGATTTCGATAGAAGTTGAAGCATTTGATGAAGATAATTTCTTTCCTTTCTTCCTTAGATAGCTTATGACAGAATGGTTGTTCCATAAGCCGAGCTTAAAAAAGATTTCCAGGCGAGTCGGTCTTGTGTGCATTTCATCCATCAGATTCGTGGCCTTACCCTTCTGCGTGAAACATCACTTGGCTCGTTTTATTTGCCTTTTGAGCTGGGACATCGACATCCATTCTCACAAGATGGCCTAGCCAGCGTTGTCGCTGCTGCTGGATCCGTCTGACTATGTCGATGTCCGAGAATAGATGGCATAACTCATGGTTCATTCGACAGGGATATTCACCATCGACACAGATCGGCCCATGCTTCTGATCCATATGTGCTGTTGTATGGTAATATTAGCGTCTTGTAGAGTTTGAGTTTGGTCTGGCGAGAGGTGGCCTTGCATTTGAGTTGCTTATGGCGGTACCGACGTATATAAAATCCGACGTATATAAAATCATTCACTACCTCGAAGCTGTAGTTTTCAATTTCCATAATTGGTCCGAGTCTACTTGACGTCTTGCGCGATACCATCAGCTTGATCTTTTCGCCATTTACTGCCAATCCCACTTTGGTAGACTCCTTCTCAATTCGTTAAAATGTGGCTGTTACTGCTCACAATGTTCGACCCCTTATGTCAATGTCGTCGGCGTAGGCGAGTAACATACATACGCTGCTTGGTGTACAGAGTGTCATTTGCCATTGCACAGCCGTATTAATTTTACAGGAGTGCCAAACGCAGACAGGGCTTTAAACACCTCTGAACGGATGGGGCTGTCGAATGCAAATCCTGTAATATCAAATCTGAGGTCGTCCTCAAGTGTAGAGCAGTTTTCGAAACACTCACAGCTATCGGCTGTGTTGGGTACCAGGACACACAATCAATTGATCAATCAAATCACCCATATGTCATCTTTATCGGAACTTTAAGGCGTTCTTTGACGAACGAACTAATGAATTCTGGCACAACGAACCTAGGTGCAATGTTGCAAGATCTATCTGGCCGACTCTGTCAACCAAGTGAACAAACTCAGTGTTGAAATTAGAGTAATGACAGGAGTCATTACTGGTCATTGCAATACCAGGGCCTTTACCAGTAAATGGGACCATGATGTTACAAATGACTGCAGACTCTGTGCTGACGAAGAGGAGACGGAGACAGTTGAGCATCTCATGTGTCGCTGCACAGACTAGTTGGTGCTCACTTTCCACCGTCTCTAAGCTTCTTTTCAACTAAGGAACCTTATTTAATCTACAGCATCATTAGAAACCAAAAGTGGTTAGAAAAGTGCAACTTTAGCACGTAATATGTTTTTCTGTCCTTCTTTAGCCATTGAAACTATTCCCACCTTTCTCCTTAATACTTCTTGTTAGCTTCTTATTCTACCTTTTCCCAATGGACCGGAAGGTCTCAGAGTGCTGCAGCCACATTATTGACTGCACATGCCCAAACCTAACCTAGGCTGAGTATTATGTCGAGATTTTCGCCAACTTCACTTCAATTTTAAATTTAAATTGCGACAAAAAAGAATCGTTATTTCAGTCAATGAATTGAACTATAATAAAATAAGTCGACTGAACTAGTTCATTTCCTCTTAACAGTGAATCATGCAATTGAACCCAGGTGCATTCGAGAACAATACAAAACAACCGTAATAATAGCCGGCAAAAGGTTGGCCACCTTCAATGTTATTCCTAAAAAATATTTTGTATACATCATATCTCTTTGTGCTTGCACCTAAATTGACCTCACATATCATTGGTGGCGTTGCAGCCAATCATCAAGCCTGTACGAAAATTCCAGTAACAGCAAGTCTATCAACAACATCAGCGGTGCACACGGACGAGAATAGCAGCCCAGTTGAGATGACCAGCAACGACTTCAATTATAAATCTGGAACAAGTTCGGTTGCCTTTGTAACAACACCCGATGATAAGATTGCCAAAAAATTGGCTCATGGCCTAGTGGAACGTAAATTGGCAGCCTGTGTTAATATTATTCCGAATATTCAATCGGTGTACATGTGGGAAGGCAAAGTGAATGAGGATAATGAATATCTAATGATTATAAAAACACAAACCTCCCACATTGAGGAGTTAACCAAATGGGTACGAGACAATCATCCCTATAGTGTGGCCGAGGTTATAACATTGCCCATTGAGCAGGGAAATTTGCCATATATGAAATGGTTGGCCGAATCTGTACCCGAAAAGAAGTAACTTTTTTTATTTTTTTGCAATTGAATTGTAGTATATATGTGAATGTACTCTAAAAATAGATTTATATACATATTTTTTTGAAATAAAAAAAATATGGTCTTCTCTAATCGCAGCAATCTGTATATCTTATCTCCTATTTCTTGATCGGTCAAAACAAATTAAAATAACGTTGGAATTTTGAAAAAAGAAGCAAGTAAATAAGCCGTTAAGTTCGGTCGGCCGAACATTTTATACTATCCATCCAATGGAGTGCTTTCAAAATTCCTTAAGCCGACCGGGAAAAGTTAAACGGCACTCCATTTCAACAACATGACCTAGCCAACGTAGTCGCTACAGCTAGATACATCTGACAAAGCCGATGTCCGAGAATAGATTGTACAACTCATGGTTCATTGGATGGCGATATTCACCTATAACGCAGATCGACCCATAAATCTTTGGAGAATTTTTCTCTCAAACACTTCAAGAGCTGTCACATCTGCTTGCGTAAGTACACATGCTTAAGATCCATAAAACAGCACGGGTAGTATCTGTTGGTCTTGTAGAGTGTGGGTTTGGTCTGGCGGGAGTTGGTCTTGTTTCTAAACTGTTTACTTATACCATAGTAGCATTGTTCGGACAACACTATCCTATTTATGGTGATACCAAGTTATATAAAATCTATGACTACCTCGAAGCTGTAGTTCTCAAGTTCCATAATTAGTCCGAGTCTACTGAACGTCTTGAGCGTTGATACCATCAACTTGGTCTTCTGTAGTTCTCAAGTTCCATAGTTGGTCCGAGTCTACTGGACGTCTTGAGCGTCGATACCATCAGCTTGGTCTTCTCGCAGTTTACTGCCAGACCCCACTTTGGCAAAATCCGTCGCAATTTGTTGAAAGGTGCGGTTAGTCTGCTTTTCCAGAGGCAAATTTTTATTTGGCAAATACTGAGTTTGTAGGCGAGAGGGATGCGAGGAAGAAAAACAAAAATTTGCCTGTTCAGAATTTGCCGTACACGCAAATTCTGCTTTGCTCTGTTCGTTTACAAACCTGTTGCTTTTGTTTACAAACCTGTTGCTTTAATTTGTGCAAGTGAAATTTAATTTTTAATTTTTGCAAATTAATATAATAAAATATATAAAAAATAAATAAAATATTAAAAAAAAATCTTTAAAATGCAAACACTTTTTTTATTTTCTTTCTTTTGTATTTTGATTCGCAAATTTGGCAAAGAAAAATTTGCTAATGGAAAAGCAAGCGAAAATTTCAAAAGAGAAAACAAAAAATTTGCCAAATAAAAATCTGCCTGTGGAAAAGCAGACTTACCCGCTCCCAATGTTTGACCCATTATATCGATGTCTTTGGCGTAGGCGAGTAACATGTGTTGTTTTGTGTACAGAGAGTTAAAAGTCGTGTACAAACTGTCCAAATTACCTTTTACATAAAAAATTTTTATAGATATCCGACTTCCGCATTGGATTTAAATCTTTCTTCTATCGACAGATGGAAAATTCGACTTCGTGATTAAAAATTTTATTTTAATGTAAACTGTTTTTCTAAAAAGACGCCAATAAACCCCATAAATGATGTAATCATATGTATATGAATTTCGAAACTCCCCAGGTTCATATATCGGGATGTATGGACTTCCCTCATGAAAGTCAATTATTTTGCTGATCAAGTTGGCAAGAACTACCTCTAATAGATATTTCAGGAAATTCCTATATTTTTCCCATAAACACAACATACGTATTTTCATTTCCCCTGCTATATATAAAAATCTGGCATCTCTGTCTTCACCATTCAACTACTACAAAATCGTCCGATTTCTGTGTTGTAATAGAACAAATTATTTGAAAAATTATTTTTTTCCATAGCAAATCACTTACCGTTAAACGTGTTGTATATGTAAATTTTTCCAATAGATCTTCACAATTCAATAAATCCGAACCTTTTTCATTTTGCATACAAACGCGACACACATTTATATTAAACAAAAAATTCATGATTATGCTTGGCAAACTATTGCCATTGAACAAAATTATTCGAGGGAAACAAATGACTGAACGAACAGCTGTTGTTCACTGCATCTCTTCCACATAAGACTACGGTGACGCTTAAAATGTTTAAAATGAAGGCGTCACGTATACACTACACAACTAATGACTTAGAATGAAATTAATTGATGTTTTTTAATTAAATAAATAAAAAATAAGGAGAATTGAATTAAAAACAATGAAAAATACATTACATAAATTATTTTTTTTTATTACACAACAAAAACAATGTAACATTCCTTTAATTAATTTAAATTTACATTAGGCCATTCCCCGACGCCGTTGAGTAGCTCAAAGGCATTTACCTTTGTTCCACCATCAGCATTGTACTCTTTCAACCCAAACAAAACAAAACGAATCACAACAACAATGTTCTCTTTGGAAGAACTAAAATATCATTGTCGAACATGTCTAATAAAATTGGAATTTTGTGATGAAAATGGACAGGATACCAATAAATATGTGGTCATATCAAATTATCCAGATGTGGAACAGCTAATTTGCCTATGCCTGACGACAAGAACGAGCTCGGGCCTTGAAAATGTGGAATTACATATGCCGAATTTATGTCGACTTTGTTTTGATAAGTGGCTAGAATTTTCGCATCTCTATCAATTGCTGTTGAAAACCGACAAGGAACTGAAGCAGCTGGCAGGAAGAATATCACCAAATGGTTCAACAAGTCCTGACCATCTTGAAGAGGTAAATATAATTCGTGTTTTAGGGCGGTTTGTGGAACGTTTAAGTTCAAGTTGCTCTTGAGCCAATTCCAAAAAAAGCGAGAATTTTTTTCTAGTGGATGTCCATATTTTGTTTTGATTTTTAAAATGATCCACGACCATTGTCTAATCCTCACTGTTCCTAACTAATTAATAATTTGTTTTTCCATTTTGCAGGATAATAAAATATTCTTGGAGACCACCGATCCCATATCAAATTTAGTTGAAATTGGAAAATTTGAAACAAATTCTCCTTTTTTCCATGATAGTAATTCAAATTCTGACATAGAATCCAACGAGGAGCTAAATCATTTAGATGAACCACCACTTAGCGAAGAAAACCTAGTTCTGATATCACCAACAAAAGATGATTTAAAGACACAAGATTTATTCGATACAGATACAGAACAAACACCACTCGAACATTCAGATAAAGATGAGGATGATGATGATGACGATTTCATTCCCACAAATAAAACCGCAACTCAAACACAGGACCCAAAGGAAACAGTTACCAAAGCAAAGCAGAGACCTCGTGGTCGTAGAAAAAATCCCCAAAATAAGAAAAATGATCGCATGCATATTACAGCGAAAGCAGTGCGCAATAAATATGCCAATGTTTCGAATACGAAAAAAGCCCTCTATCGTTGTGAACCATGTAAAAAATATTTCTATGAAAAAATGCGTTATGAGGGTCATGTGAAAACCGTACATGAAGGCCTCAAGAAGGGCTACGAGTGCCGGGAATGTGGCAAAGCCTATAAATTCTATAAAAATCTCACCGATCACATGGCCACTAATCACACGGATACACCATCGGAAAATTTACTCTGTCAAGTGTGTAACAAACAATTCAAAACACAAACAACCCTTAAGAATCATATGAAAATCAAACATCCTGCTGATCCGGAAAGTACCATTAACAATCGACGGATAATATGTGACCAATGTGGATTTCTTGCGGCCAGTGTAGAATCCTTGACAGCCCACATAAAGAATTTGCACACCGAGGGGGAACACTTCAAATGTGAACAATGTCCAAAGGTATTTAAATGTCGGTATTATTTGAAACATCACACAATGACACATCACAGTGAAGTCAAAATAAAGCCATTCAAATGTAACTATTGTGAGATGGCATTCTCCCGACGCAATGGCCTGACCAAACACGAGCTAACACATCTCGACTACACGGAACGTATAAAATGTGATTTTGAAGGTTGTGATGTACGATTTTTAAATGCTGATGCGAAAAAACGACACACCCGTTTGGTTCATCTCAAGGAAAAACAGCATGTTTGTGATATTTGTGGCGAGGCATTTGGTATTAAGGCGACATTACGGCATCATCGTTATATTCATACGGGAGAAAAACCATATAAATGCCCGGAATGTGGTCAGGGATTCCGACAGCATACGGCAATGAAAACACACGCCAAAACACATTTTAAAGCGGCAAAAGCGAGTGCACAAAATACCGAAGTGGCGGTTCAAAATTAATTTAAATATTTTTACATTAGCATGTTGTTTTATTTTTAAGAAAATATTTTTTGTAGAATAAAACATTATTTTTGGTTTTTATTAGCATAAAACAATTCGAGAATAAAATTTTGTATGAATCGGTTCCAAATAAATTTAAGGGTCCACAAAAAATGTTGAACTTCCTCCTAATTTCAAAGTTTTCATTTATGCAAGTCCGGATGTTTTGGATTTCGGTTGGAAAATTTAGGTAAGACCAAAATGTTAAGCTATACTTTAAAAATTCCGCGATTATGATAGGATTTAACAATTGGTCCTTCGACCAAGCAAAATTAGTTTCTTGACCCAAAATCTTCCTTAAAATAAATTGCCATTTGACCTGAAATCTTCGTACAAAAAGTTTGTCCCCCACCTAAAATTTTGGTTGAAACAATTCGTCCTTCCACTTATAATCTTCGTTCCTACAATTGGCCCTTCGTCCTAAAATCTTTCTTCAAATAATTGGCCCTTTGACAAAAAATCTTCTTTAAAGTATTAGTTCTTTGACCAACAATCTTCCGTCGAACAATTAGTCCTTCGACCTAAAATCATCCTACAAACTGTTGTCCCTTCAATTTAAAAACTTTCTTCAAACATTTGTCCTTTGAACTAAAGTTGTTTTAAAGAAATAGTCCTTCGGTCTAAATCTTCAATTCAATTTATTTCATTAACGAGAACCTATCCAAAAGGGCCATAAACGATTCCAAAATCTTCATTGCATGGTATTTCAAAAATTGGTATTTCGACCTAAAATATTCCCTCAAACAATTCGGTTTTTGACTTAAAGTCTTCCTTCAAATAAATGGTCATTCGGCCTAAAATCTTCGTATAAAAATTTGTCCTCCGACCTAATATTTTGGTTTAGGCAATTGGTCCTTCGACCTATAATCTTCGTTCCAACAATTGGTCTTTCGACCTAAAATCTTTCTTTAAACAATTGATCCTTTGAACTAAAATCCTAATTCATTGCTGACCTATTTCAAAAATTGGTATTTCGACCTAAAATATTCCCTCAAACAATTCGGTTTTTGACTTAAAGTCGTCCTTCAAATAAATGGTCATCCGACCTAAAATGTTGGTTCAAACAATTGATCATTCGTTCCAACAATTAGTACGTCGACCTTAAATCTTCCTTCAAACAATTGGTCCTTCGACCTAATATCTTCCTTCAAACAAATGACCCTTCGACCTAAAATCTTCCTACAAACAATTGGTCCCTCGCTTTTAAATTGGTCTTTCGACCTAAAATCTTCATTCAATCAACTGGTACTCCGAATTGATCCTTCGTCTCACAACTGGTTTTACGACCTAAAATCGTTCATAAGACAAACAACGCCTATTGGTCTTTCGATCTAAATTCATAAAATTATTAATTCCATCTAAAAAAATCTTCCTTCAAAAAAACACTCCTTTGACCTAAAATCTTCATCAAAGCAATCCAATATGCTCCCTCCAAAAAGTGCACGCTTATTGGTCCTTCAACCTTTAAGAAATCCAAGCTTATTGGTCCTTCGACCTTTAAGAAGTCCACGCTTGTTGGTCCTTCGCCATTTAAGAAATTCAAGCTTATTGTTGTCACGACCTTAATAAATCCACGCTCATTGTTGCTTCTGTCTGTTATTTCGACAGACTTACATTACTGGATGGAGATAGAAATTTATTCTGATTAAGAATATATAAACCTTTTTATATTGTAACGCCATCTAGCGACGAATAGTCAACATAGATTAAGCAACGGCGTTACAATACAAAGAGAAAAACTCTTTGTGTCATTCACTGCGAAATGATTACCCATATGATATTCCATTTAATGAATAATCACATTGAACTATTTCGTTACGGTACGACACAATTTTATTTAATAGTTAAGAAATAAAATATTTATTAATAGAAAATACAAATTTATGAATTAGAAATTACTCAGAACATGCTTAAATAAGTGAGTGCTAACTATAGACACAACAAGATCATAAACGATTCCGATTTCTTTGGAATAAATGAATGGATCTGCTCTCCCCTGGAATGTGTGTTCAGACATTGAATGTTTGTAAACACGGTGATCGAAATGTGACAAATGGGCTGCTGGAATTCCCTCTATAGCGGTTAAATCCATTATGGATATTGGATCTCAATATCCTATGGCATTGCCATAGTCCAGAGCTTCCATACAACAAAAATTACAGCAATCGTAAAAACGTAAACATTATGTAACTTTCATTCAGCCGGTAGGGCAATGAGTCCGATATATTTTTGAGGAATAGCGAAACGTAAAAGAAATTATGCCGCAGCTTATATTTGGTGGAAAAAACACCGTGAACTTATACATATTAAGTTTATAGGACCCTTCCCATTCACATCCTAAATATAGAGCTCATAATGAAATATGGGCATGTTCAATTCCGAAGATTCATATTTTTATAAATTCACCGTTTATAAAACTTGAGAGATAATATGGCCAATATCTATTCGTGCGTCACATTTAGCCAACGAATATCAGTACATTCTGTAAAAGCAATAGGATTGCTACGGCAACAACAACCAACACCCACTCATAATATCATGGCAATATCCATCCCGTGATATTTTGACATGCAGGTCAATTTCAATAATGAATTTTTTTATCTTTACAGATATGAAAGTATATAGTTATACATTTAAACGCATCTTGGATAGTATACCGGGTAAGAAACGCTTTGGGGTCTATCGTTTTCTGCCAGTATTCTTTTGTTTGGGTGCTGCCCTTGAGTATTCTATGATCAACTGGACCGTGGGAGAAACAAATTTCTGTAAGTCTTCCATAACAAAAAAAAACACATATATTATTACACACTTCTAATTTTTCTCCACATTCTCCTTTATAGATCGCACATTTAAACGACGTCAAGCTAAGAATTACGTTGAAGAACAATTACATCAAACGGAAGCTGAGAAATCCGAAACGGCAACACAGTAAATTGTTTTTTTTTTTCGATACTTTAAATTTCTGCAGAAAGAAAGAAAACCCCCCATTCACAATGCCTGCTGGAGTCTCGTGGGGACAATATTTAAAATTTATGTCCTGTGCTGTATTATCAATGATGGCCGGTTCACAATTGGTGCATATGTACTATAAACCATTGCAGGACTTGGATGTATACATCGACAAAGAAGTTGAAGAGGTGTCAAAAACAAAAGGTGTAAAATTAACTGGAATATCTATTAAAAAGTCGGATAATAACAGTAATGCTACATAATTAATGGAAACAATAAATTAAAGTATAACTAAAAATACATTCGTTTCAAACCCGTTTGCAGTGGATTAGAAAATCAGAGTCAAAGCAGTCATAAAAACTTAAGAAGGATTATCAGAATTATAAGCGTGCATTTTTTAATTAATTTTATGAAGGACTTTTAGAGCTATGAGCGTGGAGATTTAAATTAATTTTAGGTGGGACTGTAAGAGCTATAGGTTTTTTACTTAATTTTGATAATGACAATCAGAGATATAAGCGTAGATTTTTTAAGTTAATTTTAGGTGGGACTATGAGAGCTATAAGCATGGGTATTTTAAATTAATTTTGAGAAGGACTATCACAGCTATACAAATATGAGGCAATCGTCACGAAAATTTGCACAGAATAAGATTTAGAACAGATATTAAGTAAATCAAAACAATTAGTTATTAGTTACTTGCTTCTTACCTCATACGATGGCCGATGCACGAACTTCCTATGTTTCCTGGTCATCCTGGCTACAAAAAGGAAAGTTGCATTATTATTTATTAAAAATACATTTAATAAAACTTCACCCACCTTTTAAAATTAAAGAAGGACTTGCAGCCATAGTTTGGGCAGATAAAAAAAAAATATTACATAATACCTTCTTCACAACAATTTTTTTCGCGACTTTATTACATTCAAAACGAATCACAGACACTTTATCCATTAAATATGAACCCCCATACCGGCGACCGACGGGGGCCAATACTTTTGTATGTAGGGATCGCGAAATTTACCGACCGATTAATAGCACGAAATTATATATTTTCACTAATTTGTAAAATTATATTTATTATATATTTATCATTTATAAATTTAATTATATTTATCACTTGTAATTTTTTATTAATGAAATTGATGCAACAATAGTTAGGACGATAGGCTTGAAAGCACTTTCAAATAATTGAACCCAATAACACCACTATTCCAATTTGTTTTCTTTCCATTGAATTTTTCTAATAAGAAACAGCAATTGAACTATTTGTTGCCTTCCGTTTTCTTACATTTAACACATTTTTGATTAATTTATTGGATGAAACAACAATTTTTTCTTTTCTTTAATAAAGTACACACACTTTTCTTCTTTTAATTTTTTTTATGGCTGCAGCGAGGAATAAACCTTCTTTTCATTCAAGCCACAACAAACTAATCAATAGATGCTAATTTTGGCGCGCTTTTTTACTAACACACTCACACACTTTATGGCAATTTCCGAGCTTTGTTGCCCTTTCTTTTTGCTTGCAAAACTATTTTCTTTTTTTCTATATTAAGATATAAAATATCACTTAAATTTTATTAGATTGCTATACACAATGACTTGCTTTATTTATATTTTATTATGTAATTTATAACATATCAATTATAATTTTAATTTTTTTATTCACTTCACTGTAATACGTTTTATCCCGGCCGTTGAAAATCTGAGAAACTCCAATAAAATGAATAAGACAGTATGTCAAAAAACAACAGGGTGTTAGAGGAAAAATTAAATGTATGTAAAAATCAGCAGGGTGCTACAGAGAAAATTAAATGTAAATGTGAAGTTTACAGGATGTTCCATGAACGGAAATAATAACTTTTGTGACCTATTTTGGTACGACAATTTAAATTTATTTGAAAACGGAAACAATTCAAACTAATAGAGTTTGACCAAATCTTTATTTATGTTTATAAAGGTTTTCAGATTCAAAACAAACATAAATGACATATTATCATGACTGAATTTTTGTTGTGACTACAGCATAATTATGACTGATTTGTTGTGCTATTTTCGGTCAAGTTCTCGGGCATCCTTAAACCGATTATACAATTGGACTTATGCCGAAACGTCATCTATTCTATAATGTCATCATTGTTATTCATATTTTTAAAACCTTGATCAATATTTATTTTTGAAAATTAAAACAATTAATTAACAAATATATTTATTGAAATTTCAGTGAAATACTTACTTAGCTGGCTTGTGACAGAACTTTCGTTCAATAAGCCGAGCTTAAAAAGATTTCCAGGCGCGTCGGCCTTTTGCGCAATTTTTCCAGTTTGAAAGATCATATCTTCAGCCATTCTCACAACGTAGTCGCTTCACCTCAATACGTCTAACAATGCCGTAAGCAATGCTTTTAAGTTGCTTACTCAGACCATAGTAGCATCCATTGGCCAGCACTATCCTTCTCCGAATTTCAAAACTGATGTCATTAGTTTTATTTATGGCGGTATCAAGGTATATAAAATCTCTGACCTACTCACAGTTGGCCCGAGTCTACTGGACGTCTTGCGCGTTGATACCATCAGCTTGGTCTTCTTGCCGTTTACTGCCAGACCCAATTTGTTGAAATATGGCTCTGAATCTCTCAATCTCAGATTACCATTTCTGTTCACCTTTGCCTCTCGTATGACCTTTTCCAGCAAGATGTTAAAAAGGTCACGACAAACTGTCAACTTGTCTGAATCCACATTCGGTATGAGGTTCAATCATTGGGCATGCATTCCTCTAGCCAAATTGTACTAATCAGTTGGTGCATGCTCCTTACCAGCATCTGACCACCAGTCTTAAATAGTTCGGCTTGTAACCCATCGGCACCTGCTGCTTTATCATTCTTCGGCCGATTGATTGATTCTGACCTCATCTTGGCTAGGTGGTAAAAACTCTATACCGTCATCTATTATTGGTTCTGGGGTATCCTCTTCACCGTCAGTGAAATAGATAAAAAATTGCAAATCTTAGCAGGAAACCCCATTTAACTGCACACATTTTCGGTATTTTCAGGATTTTAGACAAATTTTCCAACCGAATTATCTGTTTTTTTATATTTTAAGTTCAACTTTTTCTAAAAAATACCAATAATTAAATTTTGACATTTTCAGAGTTTCTGGACAGGTATTGAAACGAATTGCCAGTAATTTTATATTTTTATCTTTTTGTCATAGATTATGGGTTGTATGAAATGTCAATTTATAAAGGAATATCATAGTCAAACTCTTTTATTTTATTTTTACATTAAATTTATTTTATTTTTGCATAAAACAGATCAAACTTAAGATGTCATGCCTTAAGTCCCCTTCTATATTTCCCCATTAATGTATTTTCTACATTGAATTGTTTTCGTTTTCAAATAAATTCAAATTTTCGTACCAAAATAGAGTACTAAAGTCTTTATTTCCGTTGCTGGAACATCCTGTTAACTTTATATTTTCTCTGTAACACCCTGTTATGTTGACATACTGTCTTGTTCTACTCTCTTTGAAGTTATTCCAGTTTCTCAACGGCCGGGTTAGAACGTATTTCAGTGAAGTGAATTACAAGTAAAAATTAATAATATATTTTAAATTATATAATAAAATACACATATATTAAAGCAAGCCATTCTGCAAATCAATCTAATAAAAAATTAAGTGATATTTCATATATTTTTATAGAAAATATGAACATAGTTTTTGTGCAAATGAAAAGGGTTACAAAGCTCGCAAATCGCCCATATGTATGTAAATGTGTTAGTAAAAAAAGTGCGCGAAAATTGGCGACATTTCATGAGTTTGGTATTGTCTTAAATGAAAAGAAGAAAAAGATCTGTGATGTTGTTATAAATGTAGAAATTTAATTGCAAAAAGTGTGAGAAATTATGTGCATTTTATTAAAGAAAACAAAAAATGCCCAATTTTTATTTCTAATTAGAATTTCGTATGCAAAGGAATTAGAATAGTGGTATTATTTGTTCAATTCACTTAAAGTTCTCTCAAGTCGATTGTTATGCTAATTGTTTTATCAATTTCATTAATAAATATATAATAATATATAATTTCGCAAATATATTTACCCTTATCCAACAAATTCGACAAAACGTATATGTTTGTACACTTAATCGATCGATAAAATTCCTGATCCCTACGTACAGAGGCTTTGATCACTCGGTCGTCGGTATGAGGTCTTATTTGAAAGTGTTATAATCGGGAAATATTTAATTCTGAAAAATTATATTGAATATAATTATATTAAATATTTTTGCATTATATGTTTTCAACTCCTATATACTTTGAAAGGTAGGTGGTTTTTTTTTTTATTAAAACGGTATTATTCATAAGTAATAATACAATTGTCTTTTTGTAGGTAGGATGACATACAGGGAGTACGTTCATCGGTATGAGGTAAGAAGGATATGCATAAACAATATTTACTTTGTTGTACTTAATATTTGTTTATTGCGAAAATCCTTTTAATTAATCTGATTTGTTTTTAATTATAGTTATATAGTACTAAAAAATCATATTTTAAAGTTCGGAAAATACCATTAGACGGGATATTTAAACCCAAATAACTAACAAATCCAGTCAATATATATGAAAAATTGCTTCAATAATCCAATTTGCAGGCATAATTTAAAATTGAAAAGAATCGTAGATAAGTCTGTATTAAAGTCCGATTAATATACGAAAATCAGAACGATATCGACTTTATGAAGTCTAGGTATTTGGTGAACGATTTGCATAAAATCGGATATATACACACACAAAGTTTTCGTTCAATTTAAAAAAAAATCTGGATTGCGATTATCAATTATTTTCATTTCTGTTGCCCTGGAAAAAAATCTTGACATATGGCGATGCGTTTTTTGGACAATCGTTGTACTGAAAAATCCTTATAAGAAGCATTTTTTCCTTACTTGTCGATCCATATATATCCAATGTATTGCAAATGGGTCCCTGCATTTGTAATGTGAATGATGATACCAGGAAATTCAACCTCAAATCGTTATGCTGCCATATTCTCCACCACATTCGTGTTTAATTTTTTCTTTTTTTGTAAACAATATACGATTTGTTTCCCCTTGATCGCAATTAAATTGATCCAGCAGATAATTTTATATTTTCCTACATGTGTCCGGCACAACCTATATGGTTGTTATAGAACAATGCCACTATCATCAGTTTTTTAATACCCTCTACCATAGTATGAACTCATAGAAAGAATCATTTCCGATTTAAGCCTGTCTGTCCATCTGTCTGTTGTAATCAGTCCAGCTTCTCAACGAAAATCGCCAAGCTCGAAGATGGAGTATATCGGTCCACGTTTTGGAATAGCTCCCATATAAGGTTACCTCACAATTTTCCGCATTTTAGGGTTCTTGAGCGCGATTTCCCTGAAATTTGGTACATGGGTACCAAATTTCTCCACTAAAAATATCAATATACTTTTTCTGGTATACCCCATATAACGGTACCCCCAATTTTCGGTATTTTGAGGTTCTTGAGCGCATTTTTTGACCGAATTGGCTGTAATTTAGTACTTTGAGTTCTTATTGGGTAGCAAATTTCTTCACAAACAAATTTTAAATGTGGGTCCACTTTTACTGGTAGCTTCCATATAACGATAGTACCAATTTTCCGGGTTTTAATAGCATTTTCGATCGAATTGTCTGTAATTTAGTACTATGAGTTCTTATTGGGTAATAAATCTCTCCACTAAAAATTATAAACACGGTTTGTCGGTATAGGTCCACTTTTTGGTATGTTCCCTATATTTTAATTTTATGTTCCTGTCAGTACACCTATAATGGAGGGTTTTCAAAATTCGGCCCGACCGAAATTAAAGCTTTTGTCACTATTCCGATGAAGTGGAAATACCATAGACTTTTCAAAATTCACATAGAGTATCATAAAATCAATCTCTTTATTATTTACAAAATAATAGAATTAAAAAATATATGTATTATAAATAATAAAAACATTATAGAATAAAATTAAAAAAAACTACATTACTAAAATGTAGTCATTATTATAAAAACTAAATTATTTCTTCTATTGTAAATCTAAATTATTTGCCGCCATAGCATCATTATTATTGCTTTGCATTAAATTGTTGATAAAATTACGATTGATATTCATGGCTGCTGCTGATGGGGTGTTGGAAACTGCAATAGTAGCAGCAGTTCCCAGCACCGCTGGTGTTGCTGCCGCTGCTGCTGGTGTAGGCATTGTATCTGATATTGGTGGATTGATACTATTGTTGTTGTTATTGCTACTGCTACCATTCGCACCACCTCCACTCGCACTCGCCGCCGATTTATTATGGATTTTACGATGATTTTTCAAACATGTCGGCTGACGATATGCCTGGCCACAGATATCACAGACATACGGCTTCTCACCCGTATGAATGTAGATGTGATGCCGTAAAGTTTTACGCGAAGCAAAACTTTCACTGCAATGCGAACACTGGAAAGGTTTCAATTTTTGATGTACTGCCTTGATGTGGGCTTCCACTTGATATTTTCGCACAAATTCCCGGCCACAAAATTTACAGGCGGTCTTATCTTCGGAATGTACCAGCATATGTTGATCCAACATAAATTGTTTGGCCACACGACGGCCACATATTTTACATTCATATTTCTTGTCATCGGCATGTATGCGCAGTTTGTGATATTTCAGGGTGTATTGGGAGTTGAAGAATTTCTTACAGATCTCACACTCGAGACGTTCCTTTATGATTTCCTTCAATTTCAAATCGTCCTCGGTCGGATGGCGTGTACGCATGTGATAGCGTAAATTTGAGGTTTGTTTAAATGTCGCTCCACACTGTTCGCAAACATAGCGTGTGGGTACTTCGTTCTTTAGATGTTTGACACGTACATGACGCTGTAGGGTGATGTAGCTGGTGTACTTCTTTTCACAGCCGGGTATTTTGCATTCGTATGACTCCTCTTGGCGTTCGTGGGTCTCACGCATATGTGTTGTAAGGCCACCCATGAAAGAATACGACTTGTCACACAATTCACATTTGTATGCTCTCTTCTCGCCCTGATGAATCTTGCGGACGTGGGCATCCAGTGTTATTTTATGGCCAAATCTACGATTGCACTGTTCACATTTGTAACTGTTGGTCAAACCTTTTTTGCGACCACTAGCAGCTGAACGTTTTTTAGTCGACCCCAATGTCGATTTTTTCGATTTCTCCTGCAGTCCCACTTCAAACTCTGATTCTGATGATAGACCATCTGAATCGCTATCACTTGCATTGAAAATCATCATTTAAATCGTTATTTTCAGGATCACTGCTGTGTTCATCGTTATTAAAATCGGTGATTTTATTTTCTTCCTCATTTTCCTTGGAATCTCCTCCTCCTCCAACAAACAAGTCGGAGTCATTATCATTTCTCGAAACTTTTGTTGCCTTCTTCATAATTTTCTTCTTTCGAGTGTTTTCTTTGCGCAATCTTTGTATTCTTTTACTTAACACTTCATTGTCAGTGCTACTAGTATCACTGTATTCCACATGGAAATCTAAAGGCCAATCGTGTACATCATCATCCCCATTAACTGAATTCTTTTCATCATCAGAATTGGGCAAATTATTTAGGGTTTCGGATTTTGTTTCTGGGTTTGTAGAGATGATGACTAGTGTATTCATTTCTTCTTCGGGTGCTGTTGTTGTTATTTCATTCGTTTCTCCATCTTTGCCTCTTTTCGATCTACGAGTAGGCTTAACTGATTGATTATTGTTGAGCTTTTGTGGCGAAGTATTTGACTTTCCTTTCCGACATCTTCGTTTATTCTCCCCCACATCTGTTTGAAATGGATCGGGATCTAAACTATTGGCTACATTATCAGTTCCATTGCCTTCGAGTAAAATGGCCTCAGTTTCCATAAGGGAGTCTTTAAGCTGAAATTGAGAAAACATATTTGAATATCATGAAACACTTTATTTGGAAATTCTTGTGTGAGACATTTCAAAGGTCATACAGGCGTGGAATTATTAAAGAATATTTTTTGAGGACCATCCATACAAGACGTGGATTTATTAAAGAATATTTTTTCAAAGGCCATACAGGCCTGGATTTATTACAGAATATTTGTTCAGGGGCCATAAACACCCCTCCCTCTCCTTTGTCATACTCACCAACAAATTGAAGACATCATTAGTACCATTTCCTCCCTTCTGCAGCTGCTCCCGAACAACGTCCTTACTCTCCACTCCATCATCGTCCAATTCGATTTTATGCTGCACACCATCGGATTTACCACAAAATACCCTATACAATTTATCCGCACTATCCAGAGCCCGTTGACGAAACGCTTCGAACGATTGCAATTGTTTGACACATTCAATGCACACATTAACTGGGTATTCTTGATCGTGACATGCCTCCTCCTCCGAACCTTCGATACCCACATATTTATCCAATAGCTCACGAATTTCATTACTCGTATTGATAGAAATGAAATTATTTTTGTCACTATCATCGACTACAGAGGCTGCGGCGGCGGTAGTATCTTCATATTCGTTTTTTATTAACTTCCGCAAACATGTTCGGCAACGTTCTTTAGCATTCGTTTTTGTTAAAGTGATCATTTTTGGGTTTGTGATTTACATCGGCGTTGTTTTAATAGATTATTTTTGAATATTTAATATTTTGCAAAACACCATTGAGTTTTTGTTTACAAACTTTAATTTTCTCCAAGGAGATGACAATCAGTCGATGGTGTTATCGATAGTTTGTTGTTTGTAATAATATCGATTAGTTTTAATAAACAAATGATTAATAAGGGTAAGTTTACATCAATGCAATAAGGCATGAATTTATTATATTTTTCCTAAAGCCAATAAGGCGTGGATTTATTAAAGAATATTTTTCCTAAAGCCAATAAGGCGTGGATTTATTAAAGAATATTTTTTCTAAAGCCAATAGGCATGGATTTATTAAAGAATATTTTTTCTAAAGCCAATAAGGCGTGGATTTATGAAAGAATGTTTTTCCTAAAGCCAATAAGGCGTTGAGTTATTAAATAATATTTTTCCTAAAGCCAATAAGTCGTGGATTTATTAAAGAATATTTTTTCTAAAGCCAATAAGGCGTAGATTTATTAAAGAATCTTTTTCCTAAAGCCAATAAGACGTGGATTTATTAAATAATATTCTTCCTAAAGCCAATAAGGCGTGGATTTATTAAAGAATATTTTTCCTAAAGCCAATAAGGCGCGGATTTATTAAAGAATATTTTTCAAGGGCCAACTGAGGCGCGGATTTATTAAAGAATATTTTTCAAGGGCCAACTGAGGCGCGGATTTATTAAAGAATTTTTTTCCTAAAATTTTCCGGTACGTTCAAGTTGTACATTGAGCAAAACAGCTAGCTTTTAATTTCAGTAAAGCTCCTCTATGACTAAGCTAGCCGCTCGCGCAAATAATTTATCTGTTAGGGTTGATATTTGATCATATTGCAGATGAGCATATAGATCGTGATGTTGAGAAAATGAGGCTTCTGTGTAGAAAGTTTGACGTTCTTTTGTGACCAATCTTTTGTTCGCTGGAGGAGAGTAGTTTCCATATCATCTTTTCTTTTATATCCCCATATTTGTGCAGCGTATACCATAATTGATTTTGAACAGGCATCAAATATTTTTAATTTGCTTTTACGTGATATCTCTTTGTTGGATAGATATTTTGACCATGTAGTATTTATAGCTATTTTAGAGGCAGAGAGCTTGTTTTTTATATGTTTATTGAAAGATAAGTTATAGGACAAATCAACTCCTTGGTATTTATAATAATTCACAATTTCAATATCCTGATTACCAAAATGCCAATTAAGATCTCCTGAAATTCTCGGACCCTTTCTGAAGACAACTATTTTTGATTTTGTTGACCATAAGGCTCCACATGAGGCAGTAATCCGATAGTACATCAATCATTTTCTGTGGTCCTTGAGGAGTATTTGATAATATGACAATATCATCAGCATAGAGTAAGATTTTTATGTTGGTATTGGCAGCATGAAGTCCGCCTGGAAGAATATTGTGTAGATAATTTAGGTATAGTGAAAATAACATTGGACTGAGGATACACCCCTGCTTTACACTCGAATCTACAGCGAAGACACTGGAGTATTTCCGTTCCATAATCTACTTACTGAACATTCATCCATTGCTTGTAAAATTCTTAAAATTTTTGATGAAAGACCCATGGTAGACAATTTATAAAATAAACTATTCCTTGGAATAAGGTCAAATGCCGACGAAAAGTCCACAAAAAAGTATATGTATGTTTGTATGTTTGGTTGTTTAATGAGACAATGTTGGTTTGATTAAATATATTATCAACCGTAGAGTACTCTTTTCTGAATCCAGACTGAAATTCGTTTAAATGTTATTTCTAGACAATACTTTACAAAATACTTTACATAACGTATTTATGAGAGACAAACCCCTATAATTCGTAACAACCTTCTTGTCACCTTTTTTGTACTATGGAATTTGAATGATGATGGTATATCCTCATGCAGAAATATGTGATTGTAAAGTCATAGCATGTAATTGTGTAAACAAGGAGGGCCATATTTGTAGAACTCATATGGAATTCCATCATCTCCATAATTCGAAAGGAATGTTTTTAAGGATCATCCATAGGCGTGGATTTATTAAAGAATATTTTTTAAGGGCAATCCAAAGGCGTGGATTTATTAAAACATTTTTTTAAGGATACTTCAAAGGCGTGGATTTATTAAAACATTTTTTTAAGGATACTTCAAAGGCGTGGATTTATTAAAACATTTTTTTAAGGATACTTCAAAGGCGTGGATTTATTAAAGAATATTTTTTAAACCATCCAAAGGCGTGGATTTATTAAAACATTTTTTTAAGGATACTTCAAAGGCGTGGATTTATTAAAGAATTTTTTTTTAAACCATCCAAAGGCGTGGATTTATTAAAGAACATTTTTAAGGGCCAACTGAGGCGTGGATTTATTAAAGAATATTTTTCAAGGGCCAACTGAGACGTGGATTTATTAAAGAACATTTTTAAGGATCCTTCAAAGACGTGGATTTATTAAAGAACATTTTTAAGGATCCTTAAAAGACGTGGATTTATTAAAGAACATTTGTTCAAACGCCATTTAATTTTAAAATATTTTTTCTTTATTTGAAATTAAATTTCATTGATTATACATCATTAATATTATTAGTTAGTATTACATACATGCAACTAAAAAAATATTTCTCATTTTGTATTATACAATATTAAAAGTGTAAATATTTGTTTGAAAAATATACATACGTAGCATACATTAATTTTCCTGTTTCGTTTAAATATATATATATCTATGTCGTGAAATACATGACATTTAAAAAAATACATACATATATATTAATAATAAAAATAAAACCAAAATAAGAATAAAAATATTAATTGGTATATAAAAGTAATGAGGGCCCATGTATAATTGAAAAAAAATGTGAATATAAAAAAATCGGCAAAATGGATGATGAAATAAAATCTGTTTGGTATTATTAAAGGAAGTACATATTTAACTTGGAAGGTTATACAAAAATCAAAAAATGGCATGGCATTTATAAGGTTTGAACATTTAATTAATTATTAAAAAATTTTAAAAGCCTAGTACTTAGTTCCTAATAGTTTGTGGAAAAATAATCAAACTTAATTGACTTAATTGTTAGGGGGATTATTAAATATTTAAAAAAAAAGACCTCATTGATAATTTGGACTTTATTGTTAAGTAGGCCTACATACTAGGCTTCCATATTTGTGTTAGAGTTTAATTGAATATTTTTTTAAAACTAACTTTTGTTTTCGTTTCTTTTTTTGTTTTTGTTAACAATAAAACATTACTAGAATTTTGTTGTATTTGTTGTGGTTTCCTAAAAAGGGAAAACATCTGAACACATGTGTAAAATTAAGAATAATAAAAATATCTATGTGGTTTCTTTTGTGTTAAGTTGAGTTGGATGATGGGACCTGTTTTTTTTTTTAAATTCCATTTTGATGAACAGGATGAATATCGAATCCTTAATACCAACATCAAAGGGGGCAACTGAAGCTGCCTTCTGGCAAACTTGATTGTGGATATTAAGAATTGTATATATGTGTACATTTATGCGTAAATTAACAATAGGATCCAATAAGACTAATAGACATGGTATCTGATACAGGATCAGGGGCAGAGATCGGTTTCCAATAACGATTATAACTTACTGTAAATAAAGACATTTACTTTGATTATTACTTTGATTTTATATAATTTCAATTTGTTTTACTCACAAACAAATGATTGTGGCAAACGCATGGACAGGGTACGACAACGATGGCGACACTCACTGGTCGGGCGCAGTATTATGAATCGGGTACCCAATGCCTGTTGAATGTATACATGTGGACACTCAGTGTCCGGTAAAGTATATGAGGGCGCTTGTATGGTATCAATGGTCATATATCTTTCCAGGGCCAAACTACTTGGTAGCTTGGCTGGTCTGGGTATTAGCTGGCGCAATAGACGGGCCGGTAACATACGATTACAACGCCATAAATTGTGTGTTTGCTGCTTAAAGGTCTGATTGAATTGGCTAAACAATTCATCAAGATTGGTTATATCTCGATTTGTGGATTGAACTCGATATGCATCGCGACGAAAGATTTCCTGATTGTCCACAAAGATTTTGTGAAAATCTTCAAGTTCAATGGGTTCTTGGTTAATCTAAAAAAAACGAAAGAAGGAAAAATAAATTAATTAAATATTACAAAATAAAAATCTTCAAGGACAAAAATAAAGAATATTTTTTAGGATCAATAAGGCGTGGATTTAGTAAAGAATATTTTTCCTAATGCCACACAGGCGTGGATTTGTTAAAGGATATTTTTCATAATGCCACACAGGCGTAGATTCGTTAAAGGATAAAGGATATTTTTCCTAATGCCACACAGGCGTGGATTTGTTAAAGGATATTTTTCGAGGAGCCATACAGGCGTGGATTTATAAGGAATATTTTTCCATCCAAGGCGTGGATTTATAAGGAATATTTTTTCCATCCAAGGCGTGGATTTGTTAAAGGATATTGTTCCAGGGGCCATACAGGCGTGGATTTATAAGGAATATTTTTTCCATCCAAGGCGTGGATTTGTTAAAGGATATTGTTCCAGGGGCCATACAGGCGTGGATTTATAAGGAATATTTTTTCCATCCAAGGCGTGGATTTGTTAAAGGATATTGTTCCAGGGGCCATACAGGCGTGGATTTATAAGGAATATTTTTTCCATCCAAGGCGTGGATTTGTCAAAGGATATTGTTCCAGGGGCCATACAGGCGTGGATTTATAAGGAATATTTTTTCCATCCAAGGCGTGGATTTGTTAAAGGATATTGTTCCAGGGGCCATACAGGAGTGGATTTATAAGGAATATTTTTTCCATCCAAGGAGTGGATTTGTTAAAGGATATTGTTCCAGGGGCCATACAGGCGTGGATTTATAAGGAATATTTTTTCCATCCAAGGCGTGGATTTGTTAAAGGATATTGTTCCAGGGGCCATACAGGCGTGGATTTGTTAAAAGATATTGTTCCAGGGGCCATACAGGCGTGGATTTATAAGGAATATTTTTTCCATCCAAGGCGTGGATTTGTTAAAGGATATTGTTCCAGGGGTCATACAGGCGTGGATTTATAAGGAATATTTTTTCCATCCAAGGCGTGGATTTGTTAAAGGATATTGTTCCAGGGGTCATACAGGCGTGGATTTATAAGGAATATTTTTTCCATCCAAGGCGTGGATTTATAAGGAATATTTTTTCCATCCAAGGCGTGGATTTGTTAAAGGATATTGTTCCAGGGGCCATACAGGCGTGGATTTGTTAAAGGATATTTTTCCAGGGGCTATACAGGCGTAGATTTATTAAAGAATATTTGTCCTAATGCCATACAGCGTGGATTTTTTAAAGGTTATTTTTTCAGGGGTCATACAGACATGGATTTGTTAAAGGATATTTGTCCATGGGTCATGCAGGCGTGGGTTTGTTAAAGGATATTTTTCCAAGGGTCATACAGGCGTGGATTTGTGAAAGGATATTTTTTCAGAGGTCATCCAGACGCGGATTTGTTTAAGTATATTTTTTCAGGGGTCATCCAGACGTGGATTTGTTAAAGTATATTTTTTCAGGGGCCATACAGGCGTGGATTTATTAAGGAATATTTTTCCAAGGGCCTTCCATACAAGGCGTGGATTTATTAAGGAATATTTTTTCAAGGGCCTTCCATACAAGGCATGGATTTATTAAGGAATATTTTTTCAAGGGCCTTCCATACAAGGCGTGGATTTATTAAGGAATATTTTTTCAAGGGCCTTCCATACAAGGCGCGGATTTATTAAGGAATATTTTTTCAAGGGCCTTCCATACAAGGCGTGGATTTGTTAAGGAATATTTGTTCAAGGGCCTTCCATACAAGGCGTGGATTCATTAAGGAATATTTTTTCAAGGGCCTTCCATACAAGGCGTGGATTTATTAAGGAATATTTTTTCAAGGGCCTTCCATACAAGGCGTGGATTTATTAAGGAATATTTTTCAAGGTCACCAGACCATCGATTTATTTAAAACCCTTTTTTCAAGTGCCATTAGACCATGGATTTCTCAAAGACTCATTTTTGCAGACTACCCCTTTCGCTTCACTTACCTTAAACACAAAAGGCACATACTCCGAATACAACAGTCTATGCAACGAAGAAGCATCAGCTCCTCCTCCCTCATTATCCATACTTCCTCCATCGTTGTCATTGCTAACACCCAGACTATCTATGGTATTGGTCAAATCGATAACACCCTCAACATGGGAACACGACGAACAACTCATATCATCCATTACTTGAAAAAATGGATTACCCATTAGGCAAGATTCATCATACAACTCCGTCAGACGGGGAAATCTCTGTATTAGCGGTAGTGTCATACGACGCCATATACGCATTCCCGGATAAACAATCGATGATTGCATATTGCGTTCCGACGACGCCACTTCATGACGATACACAAAGAAGCACAGCAGGGCCAATATCAAAAAGAATATATAGTATAAAATTTGTCGTTTACGATCCAGTATGTGATTGAGCAATTCCATTTTCAGATAATTCATCGGAGAGAAACCCATAATACCAACTCGACGGGTTCTCTCCTCCGAACCGGACGCCGAAGATTCATTACTGCCACCACTGGAGGAGCTTTGTTGGAAGTATTGGAAGAGCACATAGTTATCGAAGACAAAAGGACGCACCTCGTAATGTTTTTCGGCAAATGCACGTAACTGCTTTAGTGCAGTGCTATATTTGGCTAAAACTTGATGTCGATTCGTGTGCAACGGTCCATAGTTCACATCAATATTATCCATTAGAATTTATTCGTTTATCCGAAAATGGCAAACTTTCCATTTACGTACAACCAGTTTTATTTTGATCAAAACAAGCAAATTCACTTCACTTGAGTATGTATTGATATAGTCGGAGAGATAAAATTAAAATATATATATTCTTCAGACGATCGAATTGAAAAACGTCCCACTTTTGCTACGAATAGGGGTAGACAACAGAGAATGATTGCTAAAAACCAAAATCGAAACAAAACAAAAGGGAGTTGAGTGATGTTTACGAATGTGTGTAATGCACAACAAAATAGGGATATGTAAGTCGATTTTCGACTAATCGATTAATTGAATTGCTACTTTCAATTACTGGATTTATTAAAGAATATTTTTTCATTGGGCCAATAAAGCGTGGATTTATTGAAGAATTTTTTTCCCAAAGCCAATAAGGCGTGGATTTAGTATATATTTATATAGTATATTTTTAGGGCCAGTAAGGCGTGTATGTATTAAATATTAAGGCGTGGATTTATAAAGGAATATTTTTCCGGGTGCAATAAGTGGTGGATTTATTAGAGAATATTATTCCTGGGGCCAATAACGCGTAGATTTTTATTATAGTATATTTTTCCTGGGGTCAATAAGGCGTGGATTTATTATAGTATATATTTCCTGGGGCCAATAAGGCATGGATTTTTATTATAGTATATGTTTCCTGGGGCCAATAAGGCGTGGATTTATTATAGTATCTGTTTTCTGAGGCCAATAAGGCGAGGATTTATTTTAGTATATATATGTTTCCTGGGGCCAAAAACGGGTGGATTTTTATTATAGTATATTTTTCCTGGCGCCAAAAAAGCGTAGAATTATTACAGTAAATTTTTCCTGGGGCCAAAAATGCGTAGATTTATTATAGTATATGTTTCCTGGGGACAATAAGGCGTGGATTTATTAAAGATTATTATTCAAGGTTCATAGATGTTGTGGAATTATTTCACATGTACACCACATGGACGTCTGAAATGAAGTTTCCGCTGAACATGATAGTCGATTGAGAACAGATTCCGACCACTAACTTTCCCAAGAAATTTGGTTCTCGTTCTTTTGATATAAGCTCAGCTCAGCAATGAGACCCATTATGGATATATAAACACGATGACGACCGATCGTCATGCAATTATAATCTACTTTTTAATATCTGAATTGGAAGCTCCCGATTTAGTAGCACCTGGTTTCAACAAAACGGTGTCACATAACACATACCCTCGGTAAAAGTACTTTTAGATTTACGAAAAATAATAATGATACGTATACTACAAAAATAATATCATCCACTGTATTTGTAAACAGGATTAACGTGACGTATATGCTATGGATTTGACGTTTGAGATCGAATGGATTTAATAGTCTAAATGTGCTCTTTGTTGATTAATTTACTTTATCGCCCCATTAATCTTTTCCAATGGGATATTCGTTTATGCGAACAAATAATAAATCCCCATCCACACTAAAGCAATTTCATGAATGAAATCACATGAAATTATATGTTATTTGATCATGTTCCCTTCTTGATCAATTTTTTAATATTTCTGTAGTGGGAATCCCGATCTAAATTGCTCCGCACAGAAAAAAAATTAAAAAACATTAAACATCTACATAATTTTTGAAATTACTGTGTGTGGAAACTCGATCTAAGTTCGCCTTATTTCTTTAATGAAAAAAACTCAAATGTGGACCGGGTTCAAATGATTCCAGAAAATACTATTTTGTAATTTACATTGTTGTTTCATTAGGTATTTTCGCTTACCTTTCCAGTAACATTTACTCAATAAAAATTTAGTAAGAGTAAAAATTTAAAATGAGAGAAAATGCGAAAAGTAAACGAACAAAACCCAATAAAAGATTGTATTTATAAAACTTAGTACAACGTATTACTTACAATAAACTTGCTGTCATTTTTATTAAAAGAAATGAATAGCAAGAGAAAATCTGAATAATTTTGTTTTTGTTTGTATTGACATTTTTGTTTGTCTTCTGGTCTGTTCCAGTACTTCTTTTAAAAGTGAAGCTAGTAAAAGGGAAACATTTCAAAATCGCTCTCAGAGTACAAAATAATTTGAAAAGTTCGGGAACGGAAATCTAGTAAATATGCCAAAATTAGATGGCAATACTTCAAAATCAACATAGCAGCCAATCAGAAATAGGCATTCCTGTTTACCATTTTTACTCGGCCAAATTTCTCGAGTAAAAAGTTTACAGAGAGAAATCCATTTTTTTTTTGTGCTCTCTTAAATTTGATTCAATATTTTTCCAGTTTTGTGGGTTCAGGAACGGATTTCGAGTAAAAAGTGGCAAAACTTGTAAAATTAGTAGATTCGTTTAGGTTCTGGAACTGAACTTTTGTAAACGAACATACCCATTGTTACATTTACACTGACATGTGTGAACTTCATACATGCGTCTTGAGTTAATGTTTGTTTTTCTTACATACGACAGTACATTACGTTGACCATTAATTATGTGTTTTACTTTTCCGTCGAAAATACCCGCTCAAAATCGATTTTCAACTTTAACCGCACGCGTTGTCAACATGCATATAACAACGCCGTCAACCATTAACAGTATGGCTCGGTTGTCTGACCGCCGCTGCTGTGAGTGTATTTGTTGTAAACAATTAACCGCTAGCAAGAGGAACTAGTTCGTAATCAGAAACTCGTTCTTCTTAGTTCCTAAGTGACTACGTGCTAGCTATGGAATTTCCAATTGATGTTATGTAACTAGTCCCAGCACTAGTTATAAACCATGCAAGTTACTAATTTGACCTAAAGTAATGACAGAGGAACTAATTGACTACATTTTGATCCTATAGTAAGCGAGAAAGAATCAATTGCGATATTAAAGAAAATAAACTCAGTTTTTTTAATCAAAAAACTAGTTTTTCTGATCTTCACAACTATTTTATACATTTATTTATTTTATACAGTCTTTTTGTTCTCGTCTTAAAATGCGATGGTGAAATGTTAAACAAAAACTGTAATATCATGCAAACAAATGATTTTTTAAACAAAAATGGAAGGATAAATATGTAAGTACTTCTGTATATGATTATATAATTCATTTCCTATTGAATATATATTATTGTATTTTCTTTATAGATCAAGTTCATAACATCAATTATAAAGCGTGAAGGTAAATTGTGGAAAAGTGGTTTAATTTCTCTTAGTAAATTGTACAATGTTCTTTTGGGTATTTAAACATATATTACCTGTTTTTTACTATAATACTATAATCATTGTTATTTATTTGCATGTATCAAAGTAGTAGGTATTTAAATGTAATTTAACAAAAATAAAATTAAAATCAAATTAATGAATGAGTGTTGTAATTACTAATTGAATCATCAAATCGGTACTGAACTAGTTATTACGGAACCAGAAAGGCGGGAAGTCTTATGTAACTAGTCTCTGACTGTAAACCTGTAACTAGTATAATACTACTCCCCGGGTAAGCAAGAGAGTGTCAATTGGTTACCTCCTATGACATCTCCATATTAAAGTAAACAGTTAAATACATTGTTAAGGGGTGTAAAGTGCAAGTAGTCACTGGAGAAGTGAGAATCGACGAATTTCTGATTACGACCTAGTTCCTCTAGCAAGCGGGTAGTCAATCACACACATATCGCTGGCTTAACTTGTAAAGGCAATAAGTCCAATTTTCTAGAAATTTTGGTTTCGATACAGTTATGTATAATAAGGCAAAATACATCAATCTAAAATATACTGTTATCTCATTTGTTATCGTTGTTTTGTATTTATGAATAAAGGCAATAAGTCCAATTTAACATATGTCGCTGGCTTAACATTATGTAAAGGCTTTAAGTTCACTTTTTATTTTTAGGATTTCGATATGATTTTCAGCATTGCTGTAATTTGGTAATTTAAGTACTTATAGGGTAGCACACCTTCCAACAAAGAATTATAAATATTGGTCCAATTTTTAGGGTACCGCTCATATTACTTGATTCCCAATATTCGAAATTTGGGTAGGTTTAGGCACGCTGTAATTTTATATTTATTTTTATTATATTGGATAATTTTATTATATTGGATAAAAATCTCCCTACCTAAAAGTATCAGTATTGGCCCAAGTTTTGTAGTAGCCCCATATACATTACACCCATTATTCGTTATTTTCGGCATTTTGTGTAAATTTTCCAATCGAATTGGTTCTAATTTGATACTTTGGGTTCTCAGTGGGTGTCCAATCTTCCTACAAAAAATTATCGATATCTGTCCGCGATTTGGTATAGCCCTAACAAAACTGTAGCGCCAATTTTGACTATTTGAGGATTTCTGTACGTAGCCCAAAAAGACATTTCCTTTTCTCCTGACAGTAATATAAAGTTACAACTGGTGCATTCACTAATAATGTCTCATATACTGTACTGCTTTGAAATATTCTCTTGCACAAATAAAACAAATAGGATTAAGCTATCGATTCACAGAGTTGTTCGTTATCTTTTTTCGCTTAACAAATTTGACCATGCGAATTGCCAGAACTTTAAGCTCCCGCATTCCCTAAAGCAATTTTCATTATCAAGCAGCACATACAAATTAAAAATAATAGACCACTACGGTTCTACTTAATTATCTGTACTCTATAAATATGATTTATAATGAACCTTAACCGCAATACATTCGAAACGGAAAATCGGGTTAGCTTAAATTGATTTTATGTCTAAAATATCTAAACAAATTCTAATATTATTTACTAATATTTTTGGAGTAGTTCTCAATTTTTCTACCTAAATTAAAGTATGTCATCTTTTTTATAATATAAAAATTTAAATTCTTATATTTTATACAATACTGTTTATTACCAAATATTGAATATGTGATATTAATACACTTACTTGAGTAGTTAGCCACTTGCCAAACCTTCAAATATATTATTATTTTTAGAATAATACCTTCTAAGATATCATTAAGAAATCTTGTTAAATGGAGTCGTATAGTTTGCAATTTAATTGAAATCGGCCTTATTGGCTTCAAATTGCATTTTTGGAATAAATAAAATAAAAA